CTTTTTTTTCTTCACTTCCACCAGCACTTTCACTGGATAGAGGTCGCTTGGTAAAATATCTATCCAAAGAGGTTTGGCTTTGCCTACTTTTTAAAATGTTTCTAAAATGACTTAGGCAAATGTCATTACTCCGAGCAGCAATACAACCAGTGTGAACCTTTTCGGGATGTTTCTTTTCAATAAAATCAGTCACTTTCTGATAATACCTTGAGATTTCCTTTATCTAGTGAGATCCTTCCACGACGAAGCAAACATGCGGACCGAGACCAATGAATAGAAGTGAATAAAAAACGGCGCTGCAAACTAATGTAACATCGTGTGGTGAGTTTTTGTTCGTATCATGGAGCAAAAATATGTTCGATTTTCATGTCGTATCCTGAAAATTTCGTATGATGGGGCGTTCGTATCCTGAGGTACCACTGTACACAGTTTGTCATATAAGTATATTTTAAATTTACTTTAAACTTGCAATATTACGTTAAAATGGNGTGAACCTTTTTGGGATGTTTCTTTTCAATAAAATCAGTCACTTTCTGATAATACCTCGAGATTTCCTTTATCTAGTGAGATCCTTCCACGATGAAGCAAACATGCAGACCGAGACCAATGAATAGAAGTGAATAAAAAATGGTGCTGCAAACTAATGTAACATCGTGTGGTGAGTTGTTTGTTTGTATCATGGAGCAAAAATATGTTTGATTTTCATGTCGTATCCTGAGGTACCACTGTACACAGTTTGTCATATAAGTATATTTTAAATTTACTTTAAACTTGCAATATTATGTTAAAATGGTTGACAAGAACTTTTTTCATAAAATCAGAAATTTGGAAAATACTACTGCTAGTTTGAGTACATTACACAATTATGGGCATGTAAAGAATTCATTTTTAGAAATAAAACACTACCCTTGTCAGTAGTGCTGCAGTGGAACATCTTATTTACTTGTGGGGACAAATTTTGACAATTAAATGACATAGTTGCCCATCATAGTTTCGGCCCACCTGGCAACAAAGACGGCAGGACAATGAGGGATGGTCACTGGCAAAAAGTCCTGACATTTCTCGCTGGCATTCGATCCCTGGTATCAAGAGTGGTAAGCCGGCATTCAGACCACCTTCGCCATCCAGCCATCTCGTCCTCATCATAATCGAGGCAAGTAAAAAACGTTCCCAAGTTTGTATGCTTTCATTTGTTCATTTTCTTTAAAGTTAGTGTTCTTTTTCACATTGTGTTCGGAATTTGTTACTCTACAGGTTGTCAATCTTAACTGCTTGCATATAATATAAAGATGTTCTTTATATATAAAAAATTAAAACTTTATAGGCAATACAACGTACTTATAAACGATCACAACCAACCTTTCAGTTTTTCTTCTAATTTACAAATACCGGATTCGTAATTAATAATAAACTTTCCTACTGCATGGACACATTTTTCAATATTTAACTGAGAATATTGCGGCAAGACATCGTCCCTTAACAACGAATTCGTTTCTGGTGTATCTTCAGGAATTTCAGGCAATCTATAAATACATATAATTGAATTGTTTATAATTAATCAAAGATTTCATAAAGCAATGTATTTTAAATTTTAATAACATACAAGACAACGTATTTACTCCTATAACTGCCGATTTGTATTGACTGTAAACGGAAGCGTAAAAGTCGCGTGTATGTCATGAATGCCGCCATATTGATTACTGCGGAGTACTTCAAATATATCATTGAGTAATTTAGCTAGTTAAACCAATCAAACTCACTGTAACAAGTATAATTATTTCTTTATTTATCATTTTCGTTTAAATAAATAAATAAATATATATAATATTTAAAACGTCCTTTAATTTAATAAATTCGGAAAATTAATAAAATGCTAAAAATAATCATTTTGGCATGTTTATTTTAGCTTGAGCATCCTTTCTAGAGGGCAGCACAATAAAATGGAATTGACAGTTCACAGATGTTGGAAGTAACGTCAAAAAATCGATTAATTAACGTCATATCGTTTATTAATATCGTTTTTAAACTTTTATTTTTAATTAAGTAAGGTTCATAAAATTGAAAAAAATAATAATAATAATGAATGAAAGAATTTGATTATTGCTAATAATTATCATCGTCTCCAGATGGCATCATAAATACAAAAAGAAGTTTTCAGAAATAACGTCAATGATAACAGATTTCTTTAACATCGCTCAATTAATATTTATTAAAATAGTATTTAAAAATTTTATTTAATGTTTTTCTTTTCGTTTCAAGAGGGCAGCACTAAATCAAAACTAACAATCTGTATATTTTAAACATACGGGATTTATTAATATTATGATTCAGTTAACATTTATTAATACTATATTTTAAAATTTCGTTTACATAAATAAACTCTATTGACTGATAAAGTGCCAAAAATAATCAAATGATTTGTTTATTTTTTTTAACTTTAGATTTTTCTCTAGAGGGCAGCGCAGTAACAAAGTTGACAGTTCACAGATGTTGAAAAGAAAATCCAAGATGGCGGACTTGTTGAAGTCGTGTACCTGTTGGGTTCGGTTTAAATACGGACCCGAAGAAGTCGAACAACTTCATCACAGTAAAAAAATCGATAAAATGCTTGAAAAAGATAAACAGTTAATACGTAGACAGGTGAAATTATTATTATTAGGCGCTGGAGAAAGTGGTAAAAGCACGTTTTTGAAACAGATGAAAATCATTCACGGTTTAAATTTTGAAGAAGAAAAAATTGCTGAATTTAGAATGACCATTTACCAAAATATTATTAAAGGAATGAAAGTGTTAGTCGATGCGAGAAATAAATTGAATATTCCTTGGGAAGATCCCGCGAACAATCGATATGCTTCACACGTGATGAAGTATGAGAACAGTGTGATGTTGGATGTTGATTTGTTCCTTGAGTTCTCTTTCTCTGTACAGAAGTTGTGGAAGGATAAAGGAATCTTATGTGCTTTCGATAGAAGGAGAGAGTTTCAGTTTGTAAGTTTTAGAAATAATTTAAAATTCATTATTTCTTACATATATATTTTAAATAAAATTTTTATCCTTTATTTGACAAGATTTTATCTTTGGATATCATCGTTGACACACTGTTAGAATTGTAGACTATCCTTATATGTACAAAAACATCTGAAGGAGTCGGGGTCTAGGAGCGACTCTTCACAAGATATTCATTCCCAAAGATTTTCTTGCTTACCATCTAGTTTGGCTTGGTACATCTAGAAATTGGTTCTTCAGATTATGAGATTTCTCCTATAGAACAGCTGAAAGACTGCTCACTTGGAGAAACTTTATAGTCTATATACTAGTAAATAATAATAAATTAAATTTTGCTATGATATATTGCATGGCGTCAACCTTATGCACCAATTATACAGCGGAAAAAAATAATGGAAACAACTGCATTGCAGATGTCCTTGGTTAATGTGGGTGGCAACACTACATAGCAGATAATGTGACTCTCTTGTTTTCTCTATGATGTCAGTGGATCATTCAACCGTTATCGAGCATTTGGACTTTGTAGAATTGTGTTAGTTGTGTGATAACACAACTAACACAATTCTACAAAGTCCAAATGCTCGATAACGGTTTCATAACAGCTCAATGTCAGACATAAATGGTTTTCAAAGAGGAAGGTTGTGAAGTCTATCCAGCTGGTGCTTATGCAACTAGAAGTACTGTACCCATTTATTGGGAATATTGAGAGGTATGCTGTCAAAAGTTATGATGGCATACATGCTTTAGGATAAAACATCTTTGGCTAAGAAAAACACTGGTCAAAAGTTGATGCTGAATGATGGAGACAGAAGGACTGTAACAAAAAGTCATAAAACTAGTGCTTCTAGAGTGACTGCAGAGTTTAATATTAATTAATCTTTGGGATCCAGTCTCCATCAAAACTGTTAGGAGAAACCTCAAAAAATAGAATATTAATGGCAGGACAGTAATTTACAAATAACTGATAATTCTAGATATGCTGTAAAGCAAAATCAGTGGTGTAATGAGTACTACTCTTGGACTGCCAATGACTGGAAAACTGTTATTTGGTTTGATGAATCACCTTTCACACTTCCACTATACTGCATTTTTGTTTGAAGTATTCTTAAAACAGCTTATGAACTTGGCTATCTAATTCCAACAGTTAAGAAAGCACTGACAGTGAGATGTCAGGTCAGACTGGTTTAGCTAGCTAACTCAATAAAGTGCTACTGTTCTATGAATGCATCATTGTTCTTTTTTATTTTTTTTTCCACTTGTACAGGGATAGCATTTTACAAATATTAATTATGTAAAGAAGCTGAAAACAATTTATTAAAAGCATGTAATTTAAGCATATGGGGGCCATGACTCATTCCATAAACTTCAGACTCAAGGAGTATGAGTCCTTAATTAGTGCTGTACCAATAACTGATATATTAAACCAAAATTAATATTCTAAATTTTAGAATATCACTATATTGAATTCAATATTTCAGTATTCTATATTGGATATTTCAGTATATTGATACTGGTATTCAATTTTGATATTTGATATTGATATACCAAAATGTCAATATATTGAAGGAATAGCAATATCAATATCAAAATTTTGGTTTAGCACAGCTCTAGTTATTAATAAGAAAGAGTTAATAAATACATTAATAAATTGTTTTTATAATTGTTCATCAATTTTAATAAGAAAGATTCAGTTCATCATGGCAATGACTGCATATACAATGGAACAATATGCAGAGGTGAAACTGAAAGATGCCAACCTGAGCAGAGGGCCATTAGTAGCATAGGATTATATGTTATGGTTGGAAAGGAGGCAATATTCCTCATTTCTGATATGACATCATCACCCCAATTTTAAGATATTCATAAATATCTTAAATTTATTCTAAAATAAGTTATAATGTTACTAGGAGACTGCTCACTTGCCCATAGGTTTTGCCCACTTGTTACAAAAAATTTTTGTGACAATTCACCAATTCTCTGTGCTACTGTTTCTTTTCTTTTGTGATTGGAAAAACATAGCATGTATTTATATTTTACTTTTGTCCACTTTGAATGTTCTTGTGAACTAGAACTTGTTACACTGAGGGAATAGAAAACACAGTTTCCAATTAAAATATATTTACTGTAACATAATCTTGTATACCACTAAAATGCATGATTGTAGTGGATTACAAGATTACATTACAGTAAATATATTTTAATTGGAAATTGTGTTTTTCTCTTCCCTCAGTGTAACAAGTCCTAGTTCACAAGAACATCCAAAGTGGACAAAATATAAGTAATTAAGGACAAGAAGCACATATCAACATGTCATGATTTTAAGCTAAATAATATATATAGAAAATATAATTAAATTCATCTTATAAAGTTCTTAAAATTTTGAATATTTGTTAATAAATTATTTTATAATAGATTTTTAAAGTAAATTTAAATTTATATTTCTCATTCAATAGAATAAAATTTGTATAGTTGACAGAAGCCATCATTTTGTTTGTCATTTAAACATTACATAATTTTTTTGTTTGTGGTTTTCCAGCATATTCAATCATGTCAGAAAATCATGAATCATTTTTTGACATGTTTTAACACTACTGTGCAACTTGATTGTGCACAGGAACAATTTTGATATATCCTTAGTTAGCTATTTTTCAAACTGGAAGCACTCACTGTCTGTACATTCCATGTTATTGATTTGAGATTTGACATACTGATGATTTTATGTGGACAAAATGCTAAATAACACCTACCTGTGTTGTTGCATTAGTGTGCTTATTTGAGAGTATAAAAGATCATTCTGTAATTTTATAGGGCTATTTATAAATCTAATTTACATGTGACTTATATAGAAACTAGAGAAAATCTGTATTGGTTAGATCTACATTAACTTGTTACTCATTCTCTTAATAGATCCTTTAGTGATAAGCATAAATTTTGCTGAAGGGAACAAATCTTACTTGTCTGAATTGAACTAATCTGAATTGTCAATTATTGGTGTGTTGTAAGATTTAACCCCCTTCAGAAAAATTTATGCTTAACACTAAAGGATCTCTGCTAAGATTATCAGATCAATATGGAACCTGCATCAATTGAAGTAAATGGAAGAACTAGAAATATATGTCGTCACTAAAAGAGAAAGTTCTGACATCCTTTGCATGGAGGTTGTGTTATGAGATACCATGACAAGAAGTGTGTTAATCTCTGTTACTCCTTTAAGTTGAGGTGTTACATTTTGTGTCTGCCTTGTCATTTCAATTATTTATAACTTCATGCAATTTTAGGGGTTAATAAACTCATAGATTTATGTAAATTTTAATGTAAGAGTCACATGATATATTTCAAGGTACAACACATCACAATTTGGTTAAATGTTTAAATTTTTAACTTGAATTCGTTCAATTACATACCTCGAAGCCTGTTACAATTTTTTCTTTGTTCAGTGTTAAATGGAAAAAGGCAACTATCCTCAGGACCATGCGTTCCCCCATCATTAGCATTGCACAAAGAAGAAATTGAAATTTATGAAAGTAAATTAAATGATGGTTGTATTAATACCAGGAATGCGGATGGACTAGGGTCTGCATGGAAATTCTACGTAACACAAAAATTAAAATATAAAAACTCTTAGTCAGAACCTACCCTTATACTTGGATGCATTTTTATTTTTATTTATTTTATTATATTATTTATATCGTTATTGTTTTAATTTATTTGATATATTTTATTTTATTGTTTATTTGTTAATTTATCTAATATTTTTGTTTTAAATTTAAATGTAAAATATTCGAAAGTTCCATTATTAAAATGTTAAATTTTTAAATATGTTCGAATTCAGTTACACCTGAAGATGGCCTATTCTATTAGGTTGAAAACGTTAAGTATTTGTTTAATAAGTATTTCTCAGCATCAGGTGTTTGATTCATTAAGTATTTTAAAGAGCTGAGTATGATATTTGGTTTGTATATACCAGGGGTCGCCAAAGTGGTCTATATCGACCCCCAGGGGTCGATGCAACATCATTGGGGGGTCGATGTGGCAATGGGTTACAACCTTGTTTTTTTTTCTTATACAGATATCAGAGATCACAACGTATTTTATTTTGCTCATACACTTACACTTATAATAAAACTTTACGGTGGGGGTCAATGTGAGGTTTTGGAAAGTGGTTGGGGGTCGACAGTTAAAAAAGTTTGGCGACCCCTGGTCTAAAAGAATATTTAAAATCTGATGTTTCTCATTTGACAATAGGGAATCAAAAATGCTTATATAATTTGAGTGTATTGCCAATATATGATTACTCACGGACATATTTAGAACACATGGTCCACTGGATGCCAGGTTAATGGAATTTCACTGTATATGATATGCAGATTATAGTTTTTTTAGTGAGCACTTGAGAGGCTCTTTAATCTATGAACAGTATTTTTATGTCTAGTTTAATAAGAAGGGATATTAGAGAAACTTGCAATGGAATATCTTGTGAAGAATTACTCTTGGGTCTAAACTTCTTTTTGGTTTTTTCACTCCTATAAGTATATCTATGTTGTTTTTGAAACCGTGTTTTGCGAATATGTTGGACTTCAAACTCACATTTGAGTTATAATTAAACACTTGGCTTTATTTCCATTATTTTTAGTTGATACGTGACAACAGCATGTTTCGGGCATAAAGCCCCTCATCAGTCAACTAAAAAAAATACAATTTTTAACATTACATAAAATATCTTACAAAACAGAATTAAAATAATGTATATTTCTTACCATATCCATTTTTAATCTGTTATACATACAAGGTCTTAATTGGTGCGCACAACTTATTTTACAATAAGTGGAGTAATTTCATTAAAATTTGTTATAAATGATCTTTTATATATTTGACAATATCCAGGAGTCTTAGACATAATCACATACACATCTCAAAATCGAAATAGACAATTTTTTACATTATTGTTTTTTAACCGT